CATGATATAGGCCTGTTCCGCGCAGGCACCAGAGTCGTGACCGAGGCCGAAACTGAAAAAAGGTGGTAAACAAAAACAAGTTCAATTCACTGCGAAAGCAAGTTCATAGAATTACAGATGATTTAAGCTTAAGATGGTTTGAGCCTAGGGGCCCATCAGAGCGGTGCTTATCTCTGGATTCTATAGCATGAAACGACAAGAGGTATTTCTGCTCCCCTCTGGATGGAACCAGAAAAATAAGCGCTCCATCGGCCTATCAGGCTCATTTGGTCTCGCCATGGGTATTTTAGCTGGACTATAAATCTCGCCAAAAAGAGAACCTTGGCTCAACCAAACTCCCCTGATATGCCGCCCAAGTGTACAAAAAGGTACGAATAGGTTGATTATTTTTTGTTGAACTTGACTACTGGGATAACCGGATTGGGGGGAGGAGGAGCGTCAACAAACTTTTAAATTTGTCCACTTACTTATGCCCCGTCTCGTGAGCGATGTGGAGGGCTGTCTGCAAACCGATATCCTGATTCACACTTCCAGCAGCCCTTTTACAAATCGAATTGATATTGGCGACAGCTGAAACGAATAACACATTTTCGTTGCTGTTGTCGTTCTTCAAATTTTACAAAGCACTGCCATTATCTACAATTCCTTAACATCCCACCCCACACCCCAACCCTTCCGAGCGGTGTATTTGAAAAGAGAAGATTTAGCTCGGCTAAATACGGAAGGTTTGAAGATGCTAAAGAGCAACAGCAATACAAGGCCTCTAAAACACTCCTTTCTTAGCTAAAAAGGAACGATGATTATAATCAAGTTATATAGCTTGAATTATAACTTCCTTTTTAGTTAAGAGCATTTCGATTTGTCTTAAGAAAACAGAAAATTGCAATAAATTAAACTCGCGATCGCGAAGATAACGCGACCAGTCTCGTGAATATTGCCAGGCCCGAGTAAAGGGGATATTACACGAGTAACATTGTTTTGTTATAAAATGTTAATACCTCATAGTATAACGCACTGGACAACTTTTAATGTAACTTATAATTGCGCCAACATGTTGCAGGTTTTGGAGTTCTTTCAAAAACCAACAACGCTGATGAACAAATTTTAAAAGTTACTTTAGAATGAATCGACTCGTAAAAAACTGTACCACAGTAAGTAAAGCGCTAGTAACGTGAAAAGGATATTCTTACCCCCTCCTGTAACTGCACTGAAAAATATAAATTAAAGAAACGAAAGATGTATAACAACGACAGAAGGCAAAGTCAATCCAGCTAATCAATACTCAAGTCGTTTACACAATCGATATTTCAGGAGTATGCACTGCACCAAAAGAAAATTCCCGCCTAGCCTACACAACGTACCCAAAAAGTATGCCTCCGGTAACAATGGAACTTAACTCAAAAAATGGAAGTCAGTCTTAAAATCATAAAAATAAAGTTAGACAATCTAGATTTGAAACCTCAAAGGGCAAATATGAATATCAGTCACCGTAGTTGTTCAGTTGGATCATCTGATACCACCACAGAATAGGCGATTTGTATGATGGCGTCATTTGACTAAAACTACCAGAATCCTTCAGCTATCCTGTTTCTTATGCTAATTAGGGCAATTGTTATTGAAACCCAATTGGGACTTTCACATTTGAATGATAAAGAAAAAACGAAAGGAATTCTGGTAATTGTAGTCAAATGACGACAACATCTGCTATTGGGTTCTTATAAGTACGGCTTATTGACCAAACGTGAGGTCAAGATAGCTGGATATTGCCCAAGGTCAATTTTTCCCTGGTTATGGAAAGAGACGAGGACGGTGTCTCTAATTAACAATTAGATTATGAGCTCGAGATTTCTATGAGGTGACGGAAGGCCGAATCACCTATCATCTCATAGAAATCGAGAGTGAATAATCTAATTGTTTTAGTAGAATTCTAACCGAAATTTTCTTCAAATAACGATTCCAAGTATTAAAATTTACGTTTCAGAGAATTTGCGCGGACTAAATTGTAAATTTGGCATTAACAGATGTGTACGCGCGCTTATCATTTCTCTCAAAAATTTCGAGCTTTATTAGTTCAAGAAACCTAATCGCCCTTCTTTTACTCTTTTCAAGAATTTTGTTTATTCATTTGCTTCTAAATTTTCTTTGAAAACTTCGGAGAAACGAGGAAACGTTGCAATTTTGTCGGCCTCACCAATCCACTGCACACAAGTGGCTGATAGTGTGCAACGGCCATCAGCCATTAGTGTGCAATGGTGGAGGTCGTCTAGGAAATGGCGACGTTTTTTTCGTTTTTACAAAGTTTTGGAGGAAAATTTTGATGCAAATGGATAATAAATTCCTGAGAAGTCTAAACGAAGGACATTTCGCTCTCGATTTCTACTAGGTGATAGTTGATTCGGCCTTCGGCCTCATCAACTATTTTAAAATGTAAAGCGCTTATGAATATTTTATATAATTAGCGCTATATAAATTTAATTATTATTATTATTAAAATTCATCTGATAGTTAAATATCATAAAGAAGATGCTTCTTCAAGGGCATCTTTCTAGTCTAATCAGTTAGTTTATTTATTTAGTGTTGTAAGGGTAGATATCTCTTTTCCCTTGCGTAGGTGGTGTAAATAATGATATTAGAACATTTAAATAGAACTGAATTGGAATGTTGTTTTTTGGTCTTGTAAGTAGTTAGTAAGTGTACTTGACAGACACACCATGTTGTAAATAATGTTTGTATTTTGAAATAAAGCATTAAAAAAAATTATTATTATTATTATTTCTTGACCATCAGTTGCAACTATTTATGAACGCCAAATAGTTAGGTGAACTCACTTTGAGACGTAGGTGAAGACATCGTAGGCTACGTTTTGTGCTGTTATCTCAGCGTTCACCTCTCTAGCTATCTTCGTCAACTTGACGCCGTTACTTTGCTCTTGCGTAAATTTGTACTAGAATCCGGGCCAAAAAAAAAAGAAACATAGTTATTATAGTTTTTCCTGAACTGGTGTTCGATTGCTCAAACACATTATATTCGATTATAGCGGTTTTTAATTGAGCATTGTGAAACCAAAACCAAAATAATCTCTCTAACCAATCACAAACCACGCAGATAATCAAGTAACCAATCAAAACTTGAAGCAAATGCATGAGGACAGTGCAAAGCGCGAAGAAGCGTGTGCGTGCGAGACACCATTGGTCTTACTTCTGACTGGATGACAAAGTGGCGCGAGATATTCAGCCAATGGCGTAACATTGTAAGGCAAAATACGAATTACTTTCGACACTATTGTGAAAACCGTTTTAAGGTATGCACTGAGAAAACAGAAGCAAATGCAAAATCAACAGCGACTTGTCTTACTTACACGTTCCTGCATTTGATTTGTATTTGGCACTGACTTTTGATTGGCTCTCGTTTTTCTGCTTCCCATTGACTCGTTACATTTAGGGCCTGTTTACAAGGACGGAGGGTTACCCTAGCAAGCGGGTTAACCCTAGCTGGAGGGCAAAAGATAGCCCGGGTTACGAGCAAAATTTCACAGGTAGGGTAACCCTACAACCCGGGACAACTTAATGCGCGGTTACACTCAAAGGGTCTGGAAACAATTCGAAAGTTAACCCGGGTAGGGGGGTTAACGCTGCCTGGAGTGTTTACAAGGCAAAAAGTTAACCCGCTTTCCAGAGTAACCTTAGCACGCAGATAGGGTAACCCGCCTACCCGGGTAACCCTGGCTGCCTTGTAAAAACGACGAAGAAAAAAAGAGGAAATGTCTGAAAGCTAGGGTAACCCACTTGTTAGGTAACCCTCTCTCCTTTTAAACAGGCCACGTTCGGGCGCTGTCCATTCAACCAAAAATTCCAAAAATTCCGAAAATTGAGAAACGGGGACAAATGGTACGGAACTTTCCGAAAAGTGAAATTCCGGAAATTCAAATGCAAAGGAAATTTTCGGTAAGAAATTTTTGGATATTTGGTAATAGCTCGCGAGGTTGCCCTCTTTTCTGGAAATTATGGAAAACGCTGTTCCATTCTACACTGGAAATTTTCGGAAATGCAAATTGGAATTTCGGACGAATGGAATGCTCTATACTAAACGAAAACTTGATCATCTAATAGTATTCAAGTGGAAATTTCCAATTGTTACATACTTTTGCTGGCTGAATTATCTTGATTTCGGTGACCACGTAAGTAAGTTTTATCTCCCCAATTGAAGCATCTTGAAACAAACCAGCAACCTATAGGAAAAGGGATAAATAATTAAAATGCTAAGAACGCAGCTGGAACATACGATGCACCTGGTACTTTTGTGCGTAACATTTCCCAGTAATTTCTAGCAGTTACACTTCAACTGGTCAATACCACCACTCTTCAT